GTAGTCCGGTCACGTCCTACAGGTGGCAATATAACTCCATACGCGGCAGCCTGCTCATCGCAATAGGTTTCAGCATCATGCAAAATGACACAGAAATGTTTTGCTTCCATGACAAAATTAAAAGTACGCTTCCCCTTTCATAGAGAGGCATCAAGGGGAAACACTAGAAGGTGACAGTGACTAGCTTACAACAATTTCGAGTAACATTGCATACTCCCTCACTGTTTAGATACGGTGCAAACACACTCAGAGAAGCAGTTGAGGATTTTTTCCTCTTCCAAGACCAATAACTCATTATCTGTTTGATAATTTCTCAGACAGACTTTTCAAACACTGCAGGTTTTGGAGCCCTGGAGTCAATTTGCAAGGGGACAATTTAGGACTAATTTGGAAAACATTTGACATTCATTTGTTTGTGGCCCTTTCCAGATCCCATGATGAAGGCTTTCCACATGGTGGCTGATAAACATTTTGTTCATTAAGAAACAGCGCATCATGCAGCCTTTTTAAACATGTTTCCTTCCCCCCAACATCTGGCCCCCTAATAATTGTGTGTTCAAGCAGAGGGCTTTGTTTGCTGTTTGTTGACTTCTGCAATTTGCATACATCGTGTAAACCTTGCCAGCTATTTGTGACGCATTCCCTTTCTTTTACTATTATGCCCAAGAAAACCAGGGGCATTGTGCAATGGCACACAGTTCAGTTACATTTCGATTGATTGCTACACCTCTTTGCACACGTCTCTTGAATCCTTCCTTCCAATGAGATACACTCCTTTGCGCAAAGAAACAGAAATCCAGAAAACAGTGCACACCCACACAAAACTGCAGAGACAAAACATCTGGCAAAACAGACACCGAACCCTTTGGAGCCTAATTCATTCTCAAAGAGATATCAGCTAGAACAGGGATCGGCAGCCTTTGGTTTGTTTACTTGCAGCATCCACAGGTTCGGCCGATCACAGCTCCCACTGGCCGCGGTTGGCTGTTCCAGGCCAATGGGGGCTGCGAGAAGCAGCCTGGGCCGAGAGACGTGCTGGCTGCCACTTCCCGCAGCCCCCATTGGCCTGGAATGGCAAACCGCAGCCAGTGGGAGCTCATAGACTCATAGACTTTAAGGTCAGAAGGGACCAATATGATCATCTAGTCTGACCTCCTGCATGATGCAGGCCACAAAAGCTGACCCACCCACTCCTGGAATAATTCTCTCCCTTGACTCAGCTGTTGAAGTCCCCAAATCATGATTTGAAGACTTCAAGTCGCAGAGAATCCTCCGGCCAGCGACCCCTGCCCCATGCTGCGGAGGAAGGCGGAAAACCTCCAGGGCCTTTGCCAATCTACCCTGGAGGAAAATTCCTTCCCAACCCCAAATATGGCGATCAGCAGAACCCCGAGCATGCGGGCAAGATTCTCCAGCCAGACCCGCATTGACCGTTGATACTAATTACCTTCGATGGCACGTTATTGACCTATTGACTAAAATCACGTTATCCCATCAAACCATCCCCTCCATAAACTTATCAAGCTTAATCTTAAAGCCAGAGAGATCTTTCGCCCCCACCGTTTCCCTCGGAAGGCTGTTCCAGAACTTCACCCCTCTGACGGTTAGAAACCATCGTCTAATTTCAAGCCTAAACTTCCCGACGGCCAGTTTATATCCATTCGTTCTCGTGTCCACATTAGTACTGAGCTGAAATAATTCCTCTCCCTCCCTGGTATTTATCCCTCTGATATATTTAAAGAGAGCAATCATATCCCCTTCTCAGCCTTCTTTTGGTTAGGGTAAACAAACCAAGCTCCTCGAGTCTCCTTTCATACGACAGGTTTTCCATTCTGTGATCAGCCGAACCTGGGGACACTGAAGGTAAACAAACCATCCCGGCCTGCCAGCGGATTTCCCTGATAGGCGATGTGCCAAAGGTTGCCAATCCCTGAGCTAGAATCTGGGTAATTTCCAAGGACCTGGGGGAAACCACTAGTGGGCACAATGCGAGGGAGCAGGTAGATTTTTTGAATCAGTTGGAGGTGAGCATGTGTTGGGTTTGCTGAGTCTGTCTCACCCCACCTCCATCACCTGGTGAAAGTCTTACCTCTACTTTCCATTCCTGCTATGCCCCCCCCCATTCCCCTTTGCTGACTTTCCAAACTGCTCTATCTGATTTAGAAGCAGCAGTAGCAGGGGAAAGGGGCATGAATCAGGAGCCAAGATTAGTGGCTAAGAAGTACCCCAAAAGGTTTTCTACAGAAAGACAGCACCAGCACTGCAGCAAAGTAGGTTGGAAGCATGAGGCACTGTACCCACCCAGCAGTGCTGTTTCAACTGCTGGGACTTGGCAGACAGTTCAGAGGGGTCTTATTTTGTTTAAGGGAGAAAGCAGCGTGAAAAGGGAGGCAGGGTGCTTGCTTAGTGGTGGAAACTTTATATCCACTGGGTTCAAAGGGTTATAGTATCCCAGACTGCTAGGTAACGAATCAGTTATGCGTGCTGGGTGCTGTGTCCCCCTTGAGTTACTGCCCCTCATCAAGGCTAAGAGCCTACTACTGCTGCTAGCTAAAGGAGTTAGTCCTTTAGCTCAAGTGGTGGAAACGTGCGCTTTGGAGAAGGAAGTCAAAGGTGCAATTCACACTATTGACCCTGCTAAGTGTTACTACCATTCACTGTTCCTAATATAACTCACAAGAGGTTTTCCTCCTGTGCCATTAGATCCTATTATATACTGGATGCTCTTGCTAAAATAACATCCTTTGCTGTAGACAAAACACCTGGCTCCCAAGCCCGATGTGTGAATAACCAGGATGAGTTATTAACATGCTCTGCCTTCAAAGTCTGCTTGTTCTTAGGTAAAGCACCACAGGACCGATCATTTGACAGAGTAAATGAGAACGAGTGGCACAAACATGCAGGCCCGGAAAGCAATGTGTAAGCAATCATCGGTTCTGAATCTACAATTCTATCCTGTTCTGAAAGGGAGCTCAACAGCGCGACAGAGAGTTATGTTTGCGAGGGCATCATTAGCAAGCCCTTCTTAGCCGATGTTTAAAATAAAATGAAAGGAAATAAGGACCCTTCTTATCCCATTAGACATCTACAAAGCAGATGCAATTACCAGTGTGAACAACCGAGACACATGTGGTGAGCAGCTGGCCAGGACAAAGTTCCCATGGGATACTCCCTCCACCAGCAATAAGGAGAGCAGAGAGAAGACTAAAGAACGGCAGATACATACATTGAGGCACAGCCTCTGTTTCAGATTTACTGGGGACATGTAAAAATCTCCCATGGGGGGGTTCGGTTTTTACACACAGTAATTGATCATTGAAAGGAGCTTGCCCGAAGGAGGGAGAGGAGCATCTTGTGGGAAGGCAGGAGCTGCATTGCCCTATGGGCAGCTGTGAAGTCAGCTGCTGAGGAGCAGGCTGTCTCCAGTAGCATTAGTGTGTCCACTTAGCAGTTATTTTTCCCCCAAACCACGCAAAGGTGCTAGCCCTCAGCGAGGGCTCTGGCCAGGCCAAGTTTCTGTTGATCTGTTTAAAAACTGCCGTTCCCAAGATATATTTTTTTCACTCTCCCCTACCTCAAAAAAGGACGGAAAGGATTTTCCTCAAACTTTCCGACTCCAATTCAGAGCACAGAGTGAGAATAGAAAGGGGAAATAGAAAGCCCGAAGGGGAAAGTGCTTTCGAAAGTACTGGGGAAATAGAGAGTTGTAATGGATTTTATTGCCTGTTATCAGCCTTAGCTACTGCAGCGTTCCTGTATGAAAAATGGCACTTCGCCCTTTGAAAAATGTTTTCTTTCCAACTCACTAATAAATCACTGGAACATTAAGGGAAACGTGCTACCTACAGCCAGCATCAAAGAGCATCGCAGTGAGTGTAGAGAATGGAGAGAAGAGAGAAAGGGAGCGGAGGGAAGAAAGGGAGGAAGGAAAGCAAAAAAGAACAGAGTAAAGAGGAGAGGAGAGGAGAGGAGAGAGAAGAAAGGGGCATTGAAAGGGAAGAGAAGATGCTGGGGAATGTGAGACTGAGATATCAAACCAGCTGGTTTCAGGGTTTCTCACCCCCAATTCCCCTGCCACTGAGAGCGGCTGCTCTGTGCTGTTGATACATTTAACATTAGTCATGGCCAGTACCTGATATTTTTAAAAACCCAGCAGTCGGAAGTATATGCCTGCAAAGCGCTGCAGAAATTAATGGGGAAGCCATCTCTAGGCATTATTATTAATGAAGCTTGACTCCTGTAAATGACCTTGAATTTACACTACAAAGAAGGTGTCCAGTACAGGTGAGCCAGGGACGAATATTCTGTTTTGCAGCAAATTCCGAGGTTTGTATGTTTGTTCCACATTGGAATGACAACCAAACCTCTCAATCTTTTTGTTTGCAAAAACAGATTTGTGTTGGAACATCCGGCTTTGCACTGAAACCAGAGCTTTTCTGTTTAGGAAGGGGGTAGAGTGGTGGTTAAGGCCCTGGCCTAAGGTGTGGCAGACCTACTTTCAAGTCTCCAGAAAGGTTCCACGGGCCTAGCCAGGAGGGCTCCCCAGGACCCCAGCCTGGATCCCTGACACACCCAACCCTGCAGGGTGCCATTTCAGCAGACATGCTCAAGCTGCTATAACTATGCCGTGCTGACAGACAAAAGAGAGAAGTGCACATTGTGTGCAAATGAGAATTGCCTTGGCAAACAGGGAGGGAAACTGTTTTCCAGGTTTCAGTTCAAGACCCCGAGGGGCTGATTCTGGTTCCTTATCCCCCAGAAAACCAGGAGTGACTCCAATGAAGTGTCAAAACTGCATGCCTTGGATCAGATGCAAGTCATCAGTCTCTCTCCTTTCAGCACCCGAATGAGCCTTGATTCAGACTGAAATCTCTCTACCACCCCCATCACATCTGGAATGGTTGTTTTGCAGCCAACTGATGTGTTAATTATTAGTCACCAACACTAACTATTACATGCAAATATATATTTTCTATATATGAAATGAGGGAGAACTTTACCTTCTTTGGGAGCATTCTTGTCCCACACAGACCACATCTGCACAAAGAAAAAAGGAGTCCAGCACACTACGAAAGCTAAGACTATGATGAAGGTCATTTTGACTGTCCGGATCTTGGCTTTAGAAATTAGCTTGATGCTGCTGACCCTGGAGAGGCCTGCACCGCTGGAGGACAGGTTCATGTTGTTCTCATGGGCTGTTTTTAGCTTCACGTTCTGCCAGATTTTGAAGCTGATCAAGCCATAGCAGACGCTCAGCATCAGCACAGGGATAATGTAAACAGTCAGGGTTATCCAGGTGATATATGCTTTGGCTCCCCAGGGCTGGATGAAATCTGCCCAGCAGTCATACACCCCATTGCCCACGTCCCGAAGGGAAAATATGTGGATCTGGGGGATGCTGACCAGCAGGCATAGCAGCCAGGTGAGGAGGACAGATACCCGGTCAGACCTCCTGTGCAATGACCTCAGGGGCTGACAGATGGCCAGGCACCGGTCGAAGGACATCAGCAGGAGCATATAGGTGGAAGCAAACATCCCCACCACCTGCAGGTACTTGACCAGCCGGCAGAGGAAATCTGGCCCATAGAACCTGAAGGTGATGTCCCAGATGAGTTGAGGCAGAACCTGGAAAATGGCCACCACTAGGTCAGCGATGCTCAGGTGCTTCATGAAATAGTACATGCGGGAGTGCTTGTGCCGGGTGGTGTGGATGGCCAGCAGCACGCACAGGTTGCCCGTCAGAGCGAGGAAGAGGATGAGGCAGAGCACCGTCACCTCCACCTTGGCCATGTCCTCATTCCTCTTCAGGGGATCAGTGGTGCTGTTGACCCCATAAGTCCGGTTCTCAAGGCTCAGGCTGGAGTTGATCAGTGAGCCGTTGATAATCCACAGGTCGTTCCCTTCCAGGGACAACTTCTCCATGGCCAGCCCCTTCCCATGCAGCACTTTGCACCAACAAGAGTTTCAGTGTGGGTCTCCTGTGCAGTGTCTCGCCTTTACAGCCTCCCCTTGCAGGAGACCTAATGGTTTTTAGCTCTTCTCTCCTGCCTCTGGAACTCCCCTTCCCTCTGTTTCTTTTCTCTTCTCTTCCCAAGTTTTGATTCCTTTCCCTCTCTGTTGGTTTCAGTAGCGGTGACTGCTGGCCTGGGAGCTTGTCCTCTCTTCCTTCCAGATGAGCCAAGGGGAGCCAGTCTCAGTCCTCCTGAGGCAGAGATAGTCCTAGCATCCAAATCCACCTCATCCCCTCCGAAGGCACTTGGCGTGTCCTCCTCAAACAGAAACAAAGCAAGGGAGGGAGCATTACAGCAAACCAACGTCACTGTCCCATCTCAGTAGCAATGTCTCTCCCTCCCCATCCCGTTCAGAGTCACTGCAGGGCCTTCCCAGAGCATTGCTTTTTTCCTACTGAAATGTACATGTCAAGAACCTCTCAATCATTTCCCCCTCATTCACTTCATAGCAACAACCAGCCAGGAGGGTCGGACAAGGAATCATTGGATTTCCCTCTCCCACTTGCAGTGAGTTTTTCCATCTTCATCTGAAAAAGCCACAAGCAGAGCTGGGGACGTAGACCAATCAAAATACTGCTAACATAACAGATCAAAATTAAAAGGTGCTTTCTTACCTTCCTCCGCTCCCTCCTTTGGCAGCTCCCAGCTTTCCTTCTTGAAGTTGCTGTTTTCTGCTTAAAACACAAGACCAAGGAGTTGCATGCTCAGAAGAGTTCAGGTGAGAATCCCCCACTGTGAGACTGCCTGGCTGCTCCACAACTTTGCTCTCAAATGAATCCAGGTGGTGAGAAAGCAGGGAAGCGGGGGAGGAGGAAAGGAGACTGGAGTCAGCCCTTCAGGAGTCATTCATCATGGATAAAATATGCTGCTGCTGGGGTATCTACATACTGTACAATTGCTGCATTTATAGTTCTATCCCCTAGGTGGCGAAAGAGGCCACCGCTTCACCTGGTCATCTAAAGAATAGCTTAAAGAATTAGGATCTGGGTGCTGACGTCAGTTACACTGGCATAAATCTGTAGTAACTGCTCAGGGTGTTAGTCTGGATTTACAATGGGGGTAACAAAGGCATTAAAGGAAATGTTAACATTTCCCTCTTTAGTTATAGTTGCTCTGTCTTGTGCTACATTTTAATCTGTTACAAACTAAGGTTATTTCCTCGGGAAAATATTTTATTATTTTCCACTCCCCGGTCCCCCCAGGTGTATTTAATTGTTTAGCACAGGGGAACACATCAGAATGTATTATACCTGGGCACACTGTCTTCCAAATAAGTGGGTAAAAACAGTTTTAAGTAAATGATCAACTAAAATAATGAATAAGATTGGCCGTAACATTTTCCCTGTTATGCAGAGCCCTGGATTGATTGATCCTCACAGCAGCACCCCTGTGACATAGGTAAATAGAATAGGCTTGAATAGAGATGGGGAATGGCTGAGCCATTACAAATTGAATCTATCTCCCCATGTAAGTATTCTCATACTTCTTATCAAACTGTCTGTACTGGGCTATCTTGATTATCAATTCAAAAGTTTTTTCCTCTTACTTAATTGGCCCCTCAGAGTTGGTAAGACAACTCCCACCTTTTCATGCTCTCTGTATGGGTATATATATATATATCTCCTCAATATATGTTCCATTCTATGCATCCGAAGAAGTGGGCTGTAGCCCACGAAAGCTTATGCTCAAATAAATTTGTTAGTCTCTAAGGTGCCGCAAGTACTTCTGTTCTTTTTATAGGTAAATCACGTTCTCCTCCTTTTACAGATATGTAAATAGCATCCATGCACCAGAGTTGCCCCAAAAAATAACGCTACAGGTTAAACAAGTCAGCTGCAGTGTGTAACTTTATTTATTTATCTGCTTTAAACTTTTTGTTTCAAATGATGCCTTGAATGTTTTTGTTGCTTTACTCTTGTTTCGGTCTCTGGCTGTCTTTGTTAACTGGGCGTCAGAATTGCTCCCCAGACTCCGGATGGCTGGCAACAGCGAAAAGCATATGGGGAAACTGGAAGTGAAGCGATGTTGTTTTCTTGAAGTAAAAAATTAAGGTTGTGGTGAAACCTTTGAGAAGCACCCCATCTGTTACCACAGGCTGGAGCTGCAGATTAATTATTCTCTTTTGTGTTGATAATCAGACAACATAGACGAATGTCAAACACTAATGAAACATGCATTTCATAACTACACTGTTTACTGAATATGGGGCTAGAGGGTACACTACAGCTCTGGGGGATTTATAGTTGGTTTAGAAGCAGATTGCAGTTCAGCTCCCAGAACGGCTGTTTGTGGATCTCTTTCATTTACTCTGATCTGCAACCACAAGAGGTAGAGACCAAGTTTAAACCTGGAACTCAGGCCTGGACGATTTGACAATATATTTAAAAAAATCAAAGACTGGGACCCTTCCGAGCAAGACTTTTAGAGTAATAACTTGCTGCTACAAAATAAGAAAGAACACTTTCTTTTTTCAATGTCTCCTGGCATCACCACTGCTAACTTCCGTCTCAATATGAATATTTCACAGAATGGAGGGTTTTTTCCTCCAGCAAATTCGGCCCAGATTTTTAAAGATATTTAGCTACTCAGGTGCTTTTGAAACTCCCACTAGATTCCTATCTGCATCTTTAGGCACCTAAATACCTTTAAAATCTGTCCCTTAGGCCCAAATCCTCCAAGATATGTAGGAATCTCACTCCCTTGCTGATCTGGAGTTTGTAAAAAGCTATCTAAGATGTTCTTTTGCTCAAAGTGAATGTTAATGACACTCGTTCACAGTTTCTTGGGGTAGGTCTACACTTACCCAGTAGTTCGGCGGCAAGCAAATCGAACTTCTGGGTTCGACTTATCGCGTCTTGTCTGGACGCGATAAGTCAAACCCGGAAGTGCTCGCCGTCGACTGCGGTACTCCAGCTTGGCGAGAGGAGTACGCGAAGTCGACGGGGGAGCCTGCCTGCCACGTCTGGACCGAGGTAAGTTCGAACTAAGGTACTTCGAACTTCAGCTACGTTATTCACGTAGCTGAAGTTGCGTACCTTAGTTCGAATTGGGGGGTTAGTGTAGACCTGCCCTTGCTAAACTCATCTAGACACTCATTTCTTCTTAATTCTATAGCCTCTTCCCTCCAATAACTGTTCATTACACTGAATAGTCATTCCACAGGATTGCTTTTTCTTGATAAAAACATAGCAATTTCTATTTAGAATACACTTGGAATATACATTTTGTAGTTATCTTACAAAGAAAATATGTTGGGGGCCTTTAAGTCCATGAGAGATGTAGAAATTCTAAGTGGGCTAGTACTTTCACATGCTTTTCCCTTATGTTCTTCCTCCTTATGCAATAATCTCTCTGGTATCATTGAAGAGAGTGTTGTGAGAACCATGCACAATGCTTTTTTCACTGTTCTTCCTTTTTCAGGAGAGTTTTGCGAAGAAGAAGTGACATTGGATGAAATCTTGAAATCAATGGGACCTTTGCCATTGACTTCAGTGGGTCCAGGATTTCATCACATGTTTTGCTGCTTTAGCATTATTGCAAGATATAGAATGCTGGCAGTCATTGGCTGGTGATGGGACGTGGGTCCTGGATGGGATGAGCTCCATGGAGCTGCTCCTCCTCCTCCCATGAATGTGCGTGGATCCAGGTTTCTTCCTCCCCAAGGTGCTAACCAGCATATCTGAGCCAACCAGGTGTAGATCTGACACAAATTACTTTTACCTGGAACCAGACTGTGACTGAGTCTGCTCCTGGGGCAGTGTAACGACATGGTGCCGTGCCCCTCACACAGGGCTGGTGGCAAAGCCACACGCTAGCTCTATACACTAGGAGCCCAGATTCTATGGTGATGAGGATCATATAAGTGAGATAAATTAATATATAGATACACAGGAGCAGAGTCTGATGCCGAGTACCCCCCATGATAACGGAGGCAACAGAGACACTCAAGATTTACATCCACGTACCTGAGATTAGGATCTGGCCCCCACAAACATGCTTTGGGATTCTCCAGGAGATACACATGTAAGCAGCTGTGATTAATGGAGGGAACAGCTCGAAGAGAAAACGGTGTTTAAAAGTCATTAAGTGACCAAATGACGGATGTTATCTACAAGCCAATAAAAGATAATGCGCTGATCACAAAGGTAATGGGCTCAGGCCTCCCTAGTACAACATCTAAGAACACTTATATAAATCCAAACTGCAATCAGCTGATGGGCTGGAATTAGACAAGAACAACTGGGAAGATTCATAAAGGGAACCAGATGGGGAGCTCACAGAAGGAACCAGAAGTGCCAACTTTTTCATTTCCCTGGGGGTGCTCAACCCCCGCTCCGTCCCAGGCTCCACCCCCCCCCCCCCCCCCTCCCCCCCGGGCCCACCCCCACCCTGCCTCTTCCCACCCTGTTTTGCTCCACCTCTTCCTGCCCCCACTCCTCCCTCTCCCCCCACCCAGCACCTCCTGCATGCTGCTGAACAGCTGATCACCAGCAGGTGGGAGAAGCTGGGGGGAGGGGGAGGAGCTGATCGGTGGGGCTGCTGGTGGGTACTGAGCACCCACTATTTTTTTTCCATGGGTGCTCCAACCCCGGAGCACCCACGGAGTCAGCGCCTATGCAAGGAATATGTCAAAGACAATTCCACAAAGGGTAGAGGCGCGTAAAAAAAAACAAACCAACTTCACCTCTAGCTCACTGGGGAAAGGAAGAAACTGCTTCAGTGGGCAGATAATTAATCCACTCAGTGATTTCTGACTCTGAAGCAGCTGGTACTGGCCACAGCCCTGGACAGGATACTTACCAGATGGACCCCCAGATTGGGTAATGCCCATGCTCCTAACAGCCAGTGGCTCTTTGTGCTAGGCACTGTACAAACCTATAGCAAGATAGAGTCCTTGTCCTGAGTAGCTTATTCGCCAAGTATATAACACATAAAGGTGGGAGGGGAAACCGAGGCACAGAGAAAGGCTGTGACTTCCCTAAGGTCACATAGCAAGATAGTGGCAGTGCCAGGAACAAAACCCAGGTCTGTTGAGGCCCAGCCCAGAGTCCTATCCCTTGGAAGACACTACCTCTCAGAGGCTGTGATGGACACACATTATTTATAAATGTCAAAACAAATGAAGTATCCCCCCTTGATGGAAAGACTGACGTGAATCTAATCTCAGAGCAGTAATACAGGAAAGTTTCAGGATGGAATGAAGCACTGCTACTTATTAGATCCAGCCAGCACCCATGCTAGCACCTGGATTGCGTGTTTCTCCCTACAGATGTGTCTTTTCGGTATGTTCAGGGCTGGGGATTGCGGCAATGCCTCCGGTTAGCCCTGTTCATACAATAATTATTTTTTTCACAGTAAAAAGAACGAGGAGTACTTGTGGCACCTTAGAGACTAACAAATGTATTTGAGCATAAACTTTCGTGGGCTAAAAGCCACTTCATCAGATTCATGCAGTGGAAAATACAGTAGGAAGATATATATACACACAGAGGACATGAAAAAATGGGTGTTGCCATACCAACTACAATGAGAGTAATCAGTTAGGGTATGTCTACACTACAGAATTAATCCGAATTTAGATAATTCGAATTTGGGAAACAGGTTGTATAAATTCGATTGTGCGCGGCCACACTAAGCACCTTAATTCGGTTTTTAACCACATTAATTCGGTGGTGTGCGGCCACACTACCCCATTAACTTAAACACAGTAATTCGGTGGTGTGCGGCCACACTAACCCTAA